CTACTACTCCTACTCCTACTTCCACTCCTATTCCTTTCTTAGAAGATATTTCACGGGGAGTGGACCTGATGAATGGTACCTCATGGTACCTCAGACCTGTTTACCTGGTGGGCCACGAGCGTGAGTGGGCCCATGGAAAAACAAGCATCAAGAGTGGGCCACGAATCTGCATCGCCCCACTCTTCCAAGAGAGGTAGCCAGTGACCTGAACCAGGACCTTACTGGGGTACCTATGGGATAGGCAAGTTCGGGCCCTTCAACCTCTGTTGGTTAGTGGTGAAGTGAAACCAGAAGATCCCATGCACCCGTGGCCCGTCTTTCGGCCGACCGGCCGAAAGAAGGGCGAGGCTCGACCACCGCCGACCGCCACCGTGGCCGACGGGTTCACCGTGGAGAGACCTCCTGGCCATGTGTTGACGCAAAACGCCGAAGAAGCACCCTGGCCACTGTGTGGTGCTGCTCTTTGGTGCTGAAGACCCCAACATACGAGGACCCAAACATACGAGCCAAGCCACAAGAGGAGGGCCAAACGGAGAGCCATGGCGGGCAACGCGGGTCGCGTGGAGGGTGTGGAGGGCGGAAGATTCAGAGCCCGAACTGCTGCAAAGAACGACGAATGTAGACTCTTGATGGATAAAACTCAGCGAATTGTCATTGTTCCCCAGTTCTTGCGAAAACCGGTCATCTTTAGGCTGCTGGAAAGGCTGCATGGAATTGGATAGGGGTCAAGGGCACAAGGGGTCTTTTGACAAATCATCTCCTTACTGGAGTAATCAAGACTCTACTGTGCATGGTACTTGGTCAACCTTGCCATGACCTGCGGCAAGACACCTCCGACCAACCATCGTCTCATCCATCGTTTGATGCAACTCCGCAACCCCGACCAGGCGATATTTGCCAGCTTCCGAAGACCCTTTTTGTTGAGTCCCATCCAGGGACCTTTTACACGGCCCGTTTGTGACCCCCAAGCTGGGATATCAAAAGGTCACTTGGGAGAACCAGGTGAACTTTGGATGTGGTGACTCCCATTTCACCACAGCCTTCATGGCCAAATTTGAGCGCTTCTAAAGACTCCCAGACAGTTCCTGTAATAGCCTATGTCGTAACCCCAGGCTTTATGCAACAGCTTGAACCCGCTGCGCGGGTTCACCCGCTGCGCGGTGAGCGGTTGGATTTATAGCTTCGGCACGTCGGATCAAGCCGAAGGGGTGATCGAATGGCTCCAATGAACCTTAAATAGATCTCTGATGATCTCTGTATATCTCTGTAGACTGTAGACCCTTGATGAATGACCCCCCATCATGGATTGTAAGACCTCGTCCTGTGGGGGCTTCACATGGTCTCACTATCATCAAGCGCAACACCACCCGCCCGGTCAGCTCGGCGCAGCGCTCCCTCCGGTCGAGCCCCCACCTCCGCCGGGGGCATCCCACATGTCTCCGCGCATGCCCTGGCCCCAGGGCGCGTCCCAGCCCGTGGGCGGCACCGACAAGTAGTCGAAGGTCCTCTCATGACGTCGCGAGGGCGGAGATCAGGAGAGGGGCGGGGGACCCCAGGGCTCAAGCTTCGCTTCTGGGGCCAAGTGAAACAGTCGAGATAGAAGTCTAGGGATCGAACTGCAACAGCTCAGTCACGCGAGTGGAACGTTCCAAGACGGCCATCTTGGGCCAGTTCATCAACGGTTCTCCATAGACCAGACAATTTCATACAAAGTATGGAATGGTTAGTAGTACCCTAGGGATCCAAGTACCTTCTCAGACGGTGATTGGAGACACTGTTATGTAGGTTTCAAGGGTCCAAGTACCTTCTGAGAAGGTACTTGGATCCCTAGGGATGTAACTATTCCATACATGGATAGTCTGGGTCAGTGGACCAGACTCAGGCCTTTTCGCCGCCAGCTTGGAGGTCCCATTTCATCCAACTCGATGCGTCCTTCACAATCCTTCACACCTGAAAGCTTTACCGGCTTTACCCATCTTTTACCCCTTCACCCTCAGTTCGACCATTCAGCCAGGTCGGCTCACCTGGTGTTGCAGTCTAAGAAACCATCGAAGAAAACAGCTCGCTTCCTTCTGCATTGAACAGATGCGTTGCCTTCTTCATCCATGGCGGACCACCCAACTCCGGGGTTCTTTGGATCCTCCTTGGATCCTCCACAAACCGATCCTACGTAACCCGCTCCTCATGGGACCCCGATGATCGATGCCCAGCAGGAGGATCCTGAGCTCACGACGTCCCGGTGGCGGGACAGAAGGTCCGTTGACATGAGAATGACGAACGGTGGCTGTTGCCCGGCAAAAATGGGTGATCAAATGGTTTAAGGGTGATTCAAATGACGATAGGGTTCATTGGTTCGTCCTCGCGGTCGCCGTTTTCCCCCTTTCCTTTTTGTCCTGAAACCTTCCAGCACGGGCAAATGGTGGAACCGGACTTGTGGAGGGGGCGGCTGCGGATCGCTGCGTGAGGTGCTTCTTTTCGTGCCTGTAGGATCCAACAAAAACACATCACCCTCAGCATCAAGTCGAACAAAAGAAACACCTCTCTGGAAGTAGGCCAAGCACATCACCGTGGTTCGTCCATTTCCATCACCTTTCCGACTGTTGAAGTTCCCCTCCGAAAACGCCTCTTCCGACGACCCGTCTCTTCCGCCACGGCACGGCGGGATGCGCTGCGCGGCGATCAAATGCGCCACGGTGCCGGCGGCACCCCAAGAGGCGCCACCAAAGGCGTCCTGGCGGACGGGACGTGTAAGGAAGACGAGGAGTTGGAGGGGTTGGAAGCTCCAAAGTGGGAAAAAAATGGATGAAAAACGACGTTCCTCTGTTCTCTCGTGAAGTCATCTTTCTTTGTTCCCTTCGCTTCTGGGGAGAAAAGGAGTTTTTGCGGGGGGGGGGGGCAAAGTCCACGTCTCCGCTCCCGGGTCTCCTCGTCTCGGAAGAGGTTCTGGCCTCAGCGGCTGGGCGGGTGGAGAAGCGGCCGGGGGCAGGCGTCCGAAGGCGTGAGCTCCACGCGCCTGCGCCTGCGCCCGAAGCCGACCTGGGCCTCCCCACCGTCGTTGAGCCACAACGCCAACGGCACGGCGCCCCTCGTCCACCCGGGCGGCGTCCAGACGCGGACCAGGCGCTCGCCCGTCTCGGGCGTTTCCCAGCAGAAGGTCTGGAGTCGGCCACCGCAAAGGTCCTCGTGCCGCAAGAAAGCGGAAATTGGAAGGGTTCGGAGGGGTTTCGGTTGCGGATGGTTGCGGTGTGATCAATAGGATAGTTACTGTGGTCCTTGTTTCAAGGAAAGGGTGGATGGAGAAAGACATTGGGAGTGGACTCAGGCATGTCTCGGTTGCGAAATAGGACAGGACTGAGATGAAAATGAGATAGACCACCGACCCGACCCCAGCGGTTGCCGGGCTCGGGTCGGAGCCCAAATGGGGAGCGGATGGATGCCGTCCTGTCGTGGATGGAGCAGTGTGTTTTCCCCGGTGCTGAAACTGAACAGGAGATTCTCTGTGCAGTGACATCTGGATCATTCATGATCAGTCTGGATCCAAGCAAAATCTCATTCGGTGCTCGTTCACAAAGACAGGCACTCCTCAAAACCACCAGCTGTACCTCCTCGATTCCCTGCATGAAAAGACGAACTCTTCCCTGACACTCCCCAACACTGCCCTGAACGCCCCCTTGGCTGTCGAGAACCCAGAAACCATTCAAAAAATAGATGTAAAGACCCTAAACGGCAATTCAATCTACAGGTGTATCAACATATATCAACCTATCATCCAACCTCCCCCTTGGAACTCTACGTCATTATATAGCGTACCAAACACCGCCGCGCCGAGGAGCCGCTGCCCAGCGCTCCGCAGGCTGCGGCATCGCCGACCAAGCACGGTGCAGCACGGAGCTTCGGTGTTTCGGGTGCAACAAGGAGCTTCGTCAAATGTATGTCATCACTCTGGTCGTCACACATGGTCACACATGGTAATCACTCTGTCGTGTTGGGTTTTTTTTCATGTTTTTTTCATGACTGTATGTCTTTGTTTAACATGCTTGACGATGTTTTTGGACCAATTGTATAGCTTGGACTTCCAGGGCGACTTCCCCTAGGAGTCCAGTCCACGTTTTACGGTGCCCGGTGGGGGAAGATCACCCGCACCGAGATCACCAGACCGGATTGCGCCCAGTCGAATCCACGAACTTCCTTTCCTTCAATGGGGGCAAAGATCCTCCCAACCTGGACTTCTATAGGGCAAGCTTCTATTGAATCATCAGGATGTGTATGGGTGTGTAAAGAGGTGGGGTGCTGCTCGAATTGCTTGGGCGCTTGGGGTGGTTGTTCTGTGTTCGTTGCACTGGACAATGGCATGCGTTTTGCCAGAATATGGAGCTGCAATAACTCCCAACATGGTCAAGCCGCTGGCAGAAACAGACATCTGGGCACACGAATCTTGCAATCAGTGTAATACAGTGGCGCTTTTTCGGGATTGGTGTTGAATGGTGTTGATACTCTTTCGATGTCATTGGACGCGGGCACTCCCAAAATGGCTGCACAGGCATTGCTGGCAAAGTCAGGAAAGAGATCCCAGCACTGTACTGTTGTACACCTAGAACCTGAGTGATCCCTAGTTTAGATCACACACCACCCAAAAGATGTTTTCCTATTCAAACAGGGGTCAACTTGGTTCTCGGTTTGTTTAGGGGTCCCCATTCAGAAGTGTATAGTACGTTCCAAAAAACTGTGTGGTTTGCATCTCTCTACATAGCTCGTTTTGTGCGAAGCGGTGGGCTCTCTCAGCCGAACGAACGGTCCAACGAGGTTCAGCCTGCGCAAGGGAAGTTCCAACTCTGGCATCTGCCCTGCTCAGCAGAAATTTAAAGAAAAACACCTCTTTTGATCACTTGGTCCTTCCCTTTTCCAAGGGTTTTGTACAATGCCATGAGCAAAACACCTGCTCCACACCTTGGAAGACTGGAGAAAGCTGGGCCATCGCGTGGAGTAAATGTTTCGAACCGAGACGCGTCTCATGGGCCCACCAGGCTTCCTACGGAGTGGGCCAATCGAGGGAAGAGATGAAGTCGAGTCGTCTCGCCATCCAGAACCAATAAGGTCGCAGCGGCCACCACTTTTTGGGTCCTGCTCAGCCATAAGGTGCCGTGAGGACAGCACCAGTGCCGTGCGGGAGGGAAGCTCCGGTCAAACGGGAAATGGAAGCGTTCCATGCGATGTCTTGTCTTAAAACCTGCGTCAGTCCGGCGTGCAAAAGTGCGTGGAAGCCAAAACATTGCATGAACTTAGTGATTGCTTGAGTTTTCCAACTACGTCTTGATCTCCCACATCTTGATCTACTCTGCATTCATTAGAGTAAGTGTTCAGCGCACATCCGCATCATGGTGGTTTCAAACTTCGGTCTTTCATCCTGACTCCTTACTAGGGTGGAGGCCATCGCTACTAGGGTGGAGGCCATCTCAATTACAGTAGAAACAAATGATGAAAAAAATGGAAGAACACTTCGGTCAAGACATCGCTCCTCACACTTCTCTCAATGCACTGCTCACTTCGTCAAGCTCCGCTGTTTTTGGGTCATCAACAGTGTTCCCACAGGTATGTTTTTTGCGGTGGCATCTGGACCCTGAACAGTGGCCCCGAATTTCAGGTATGCTACAAAAGACCATCCGTTCATCAGCTTGAGCTTCACCAAGTCAGTGGGGGAGGACTGGCCATGCGCTCTTGCCACTCCCCAGAAATTGTCGAACTGGTCGCTTGGCTATCGGAGCAGCGAAGAACAAAACAGGGCTGCTCAAGCTAGACAAAGCCAAAGTAACTATGACGATCCGTGACTTAGAATTTACTGCCAGGGAGTCATACTGGAATATGGGAATACTGGAATAGCAAATTTATAGCCAAAGTATACTGGAATACTGCTAGGGAGTTGTTCTGCTTCTTTCCTATTCACTGTGCTGGGTGGATGTGTTTGGACTACCCGACCACCCTCGAATGTGTCCTCTTCTCCCAAGACAGATGGACCGATCCATCCACATGGTCTTCCCATCCGAGAATCTAATCTGGATGGTGGCCAAACTCTTCCCAAGAATGTTTGTCGACTAGGGTGGTCATTCCCAAGTAGGGTTGAAAGGTAAAGAGTAATTAAAAGTATCAGCAAGTAGCCTTGTTGTACGTTCCCCATCAAGCGACAATATCCTACCAGTTCTTTATGTATATCATCGACTCATCGTTAACCGTTTCTTCGTCTTGGACTCAGCCCGTTTTGTTCCTTCCCCTGCTCCGCTGGTCAAACATTTGGCGCATCAGAGTATTGCTTCAAAAAGGCAAACGAGATGGGGGAGGAACAACAGCGTCGTGGGTTTCCAAGCTTCGAACACCCTCTGGGACCCGCGGGTCCCTGCCACAAGATGCCACAATGACTCACCAGAATTTCTGGAAAAAACGGAGAGCCGGAAATCCAAAGAGAAGTTTGAAAAGCCAGCTTTGAGGGTCAATGGCATTTGAAAAGCCATGGATGATGTTGACCGGGGAGTCCTGCGAAGTAACAAGCCAAATAGCAAGTCCGCGACTGTCCAGGAACCAAGAAAAACTGAAAAATAATCCAAAGAGGATTTACCCAGAGGGAAAATAGAAATCACATGAAATCACCATAATAAGCAAAACCAGAGTTTGCTTTTGGGGACACCTCGGAAATCCTTGTCGCCGTGATTTGGACAGTCTTCATAGACGTGACACGATGATGCTTCGTGATCAATCCGTTCATCTCTTTGTTTGCCATACTTTGCCATCAACAAAAGTACTACATGAAACTCCTCGTTGCACTCCTGCTGCGAAGCCTTACGAAACGCAGTTTCTGATTGAGCTACCCAAAAACTGACACCTGTTGCTTAATTTGTAGGGCAATGGAGGAATGGACCTGCAGTAGGGAATGTCAGGAGATAATTATGATGCCCCTCATTCCCTACGAGTCGCACAGAAAATGCTGCGAAAACAAAAAAGGGACCTGGAAGACAGTCTTTAAAAAAGCACACCACTCCTCCTGTCTGACAAGGCACAATAGGAGTGTAGGCAGTGGAAAGCCCAGGGCGTTCCGTGCCATAGTGAGGTTGCTTCTAAGATTGGGTCTCTGAACTATTCTGAACTTGTGCGCTGTGACCCCTTCAGAACGGAAGGTGGACGCACGACGCTGCAATCCCACCCCCCGCTCAGGCCCATTTGTTCAAAAGGCACCGGAATATTCCAGCAGGCAGCGATGGGACGGCCGTCTGGGCCAGAAAATATTGAAATAGACCCCTCAGAACGTTTGATCCTCGATATTCTTTTGACCAAGCGGTCGTTGCGAGAGGTTCTTTTGATGTCAACGGAGCCTCACCGCAAAAACTGGATGCGACGGAGCCACACCGCGTGGGTGATGCTCCACACCGCGTGGGTGATGCCGGACCATCGCCGCTGCTAGATCTATGAAACGCTGCTCAGCTGCTTGAAAACCAAGCCTCTTCGATCCAGCCAATGATTCAGCTTCCTTTTCTCAGTACCAGATGTAACAGGTTCTTTGGGGAGGAATGTCCACTCTGTCCAGTTGGCTTTCTGGAATGGTACACTTGGTCATAGATCTGTTCCAAGCACAGCTTCAAAAACAAAGCTATATACTGGCCACAAACTCTCGGCTGGAGTCATCTGCCTCTTCAAGAGTTTCATCTTGGCTTTCCGCAAATGTGCCTCAAACGTGTTGCTCACCAATTGGCCCCTGATGTTCTTGGTTTGGGGGCCCATAGGATTGTGTCAAGGGTATACGGTGTACCGGGATTTTGTCACTATATTCTATAACTATGACTGTATACCAAGTAGATGATTATCCATTCTTCTATGTTGAGTCCTCGTCAAAAAAGTGCATGCCCATTCCAAACCATTTCCGCTGAGCGTTTAGGGGGTGACCGGCACATCGCTCCACCAACCTGTGACACGTCCAATTCACACCATGTCTCAAAATGGGATCCCTAGGATGCCAACAACTATTGATTTGATGGTCTTTCCAAAAAGAACCGAGCTGGTTTACTACAGTAAGGATCTTACGCTACACAACCAGGTCAACCATCTTTTTCCTGGTGCCATGACTTCAGGGGTCAAATATTCCGCACATGGAGCCTTTGGGAAATGCTCGAACTGAGGTGTTCCACCAAGTCCAAAAAGGGGCTCCGAACAAAACCTTCCTTCGCTGAACCGATGGGTCGAACTGGACTTGACGTCAGACCGAGGGGTCTCTCCCCCACCCCTCTCCTCGGTGAACAGCTCCTGGCTGAAACGATGCTTCTCAGCGAGAGTAGGGCCTCGGCTCGGTGCCGCCGTAGCTCGGTGGGTGACTCCGCTCCTTGGGGAACCACTGGCCCTTCGTTGGACCAACGGCTGCGATCGGACACACGAGCTGCGGAGCAACACGGCAACGAGCTCGGCGAGTGACTCTAGAACGGACAGACACAGACGGTCTGTGAAGCTAGATGTTGCTTCATCATCGAAAAAAACATAGGCAGTAAGTGGATGCTGTTGAAATGTTCAACCGAAGGCCAGCGAGACCTGTGAAACTTTAGGGTGAGGAGAATGGCTTACCACATGCACCTCCGAATTGGCTTTTTAATTTGCTTGCCTCTTAGAGTGGTGCCTCTCTGTGTTCTGGGGTCCTTTCTCGGTGTTTGGAAGGGTCACAGCTTCAGAATGCTGTGTAAAGCATATTGATTGTTTGAAGTGGTCTTGGAAGACTTTGTGCTGTTTCCTGTAGTTTGGAGATGAGAGAAGCTTTCTCACTCTTTTGAATGCTTAGCTAAATCAAAGACTTCAGTTTCTTCTTGGCAACGTGAGACGGCCGAGAAGAAGCCGAAGTCTCTGGTCGCGTTTGGGGCTCCGCTCCGTTCGAAGGATCGAAGGATCCGGTTCGTGGCGCGCGAAGGAACTGGACACTAGTCAAGTGCCACGCTAGTAGTAACAGGTGCCTTACTAGTAGTAACAAGA